TTTTTTTTAAAAAAAAAAAGAAAAAATTAAAAAAAAAAAAAAAAAAAAAAAAAAAAAAAATCAATAAGAAATACGAATTTTTACTTTATATTTATTTAAAAAAAAATTAAAAAAAAAAAAATATATGATTAAAATTAATATATGTATATGATCAATAAATTTATATTTTTTAATTAAAATCATAATTAAATATAATTTTTACAAATGAAAAAAGCAGAAAGTTCGAATAGTTCTTCAAAATATAAAATAATTCTAGGAGGTTTTTTGATACATTGTACTTTAGGTAGTATTTATTGTTTTTCCAATATTAGTGTTTATATTATATCTTATATGAAAATTATAGGATGTTCTAGTGTTAAATATAAAGATAGTAGTTGGATATATGTGTTAACATTAATTTTTCAATGTTTCTTTGGTTTTTTTGGAGGAATATTAAATCAAAATTTAGGACCTCAAATTAGCGTTTTATTAGGTGGATGGTTAATGTGTTTGGGGATTTTATTATCATATTTTACTGTATTTAATTTCTATTTATTTTTGATGACTTATGGAATATTGTGCGGAATAGGTTGTGGAATTGCATATCCTATTCCTTTATCCGTTGCAGTTAAAAAACATTACGACTACAAAGGGGTGGTATGAAAATATGTACTTATATATATATATATATATATATAATAATAATAATAATAATAATAAAATAATAATGATAGTAAAAAATTATTGTGTAATATAAATTCATTATTTTTATTATTATTTTATTTTATTTTATTTCTCTTTTAGTTATATATTTATATATAATTTTAATTTTTTTCCTTTTAGATAAGTGGAATTATATTCATAGGAAGAGGATTGTCTGTTTTTATTATATGCCCTTTACAAAATTATTTTATAAATAAATATAATTATATGCCAGATTATATACCAGAAATGGAAGATTCAGGTGAAAAATATTTTAGTAACTTAGATATATTAAATAAAGTTCCCTATTTATTTATATATGAAGGGATTTTTTTTGCTATAATTCAATTTATTGGTGCTTGTTTAATTTCTGATTCAAAAGAGAAATCTAAGGAATTTATGACATTTACTGATAAAAACAGTAAACTCTTATATTTTGATGAGAAAAGTTTTTCCAACAAAAATAATGGAATATCAAATTCTATGAAAACTTTATCGAATACGTCTAATTTTTCTTACAAAGAAACTAGCAATACGTTTATTAATCGTAATTTTATATTAATTTGGCTAATGATTTTTTTTAATTGGCAAGCAATTTCCTACACCCAAGTGTTTTGGAAAATATTTGGATTAAATTATTTATATATTGATGATAGATCTTTATCCATATTAGGAGCTGTATCTTCTCTTTTTAACATATTTGGAAGACTTTTTTGGGGATTGATAAGTGACTTAACTAATTTTAAAATAGCCTTAATATTAATGAGTTTACTGATGAGTTTTTTAACAGTTACATTAACATTGTCAGGATTATATGGAATAATAACATACTCTATTTGGGTATGCCTTATTTTTTTTTGTCATGCAGGAACTTTTTCAATATTTCCATCTATAACTGCACACACATTTGGAACAAAAAATTTTGGTCCAATATTTGGTCTTCTTTTTACTGCAAGAGCATTTTCTAGTATTATTAATGCGATGATTTCAGCTGTCTTGTTAAATAATATTGGAAATATTGCAATGTGTGCAATAGTTTCCATATCATCTTTTGTGAGTATTATGCTAGCAGTAGTTTTTTAAAAAAAAAAAAAAAAAAAAAAAAAAAAAGTAAATATCTTCTATTTTTCTTTTTTCACACCTCTATATTAAATTTTTATTTGTAGACATACATTAAATGTATTTTTCTTTTTTTTATGTAAAAAAATTTGCAAAATAAAATTATATAAAAAGTTTTATTACTTTTTTTTTTTTTTTTTTAATTTGCATATTTCGTATATATATATATATATATATATATATATATATATACGTTTTGTACATTTAAAGGGTTGTATATTCTACATTATTTTCATTTTTTGTAGATCTTATAAAAAATAAAAAAAATTATATGTAAAGAAATCATTTGTTCATTGAGTGATTTTTTTATATATACATTATTATATTTTCATTAAAATTTTATATATATGTATAATTTATTAATTGTATGTTGTAATACATATGGAAGATAGTTTTAATATTTCAAACCCTGTAGGTTTAAAATTATTTTTTTTAATATTTTTTATATGTTTCATATATATATATATCTATAATATTTTTTTCTTATTATATATATATGACTCAAACATTTGCAAATATATTTTTCAAATAAAGCTTATATATATATTTTATAAGACTATACATTATATATTAATATATTTTATTTTTTTCAATTTTTTTGTTCATTTATATATAACCTTTTCTTCTTTTTAATATTGTTTTATGTTTTATTTTTGTAAATATTTCCAGAATATATAATGTATTTATGAATTATTTATAACCTCATATTATTTTTCATTTTTTAAATAATTTTTAATTTTTATATTAATAAGAAATAATTATTCATAACTTTTTCATTTTTTTTCTAAATTTGTGTTTATCTTCTTAAAATAACATTTTCAAATATTTTTTAATTTTCTGTCAAAAATATAAAAGTATATATTTTTACTAACGAAATTTGAAAAAAAAAAAAATTACAAAATAAGCAATATAAAGTTAATTATGTGTATTAATTTTCCACGAAGAAAATTAAAAAAAATTGTTAAATATAAAATAGACATTTATAAAAATAATTTTTTTTAAAAAATTAAAATGAAAAATAGAAAGAAGAGCTAAAAAATTCTCAAAAATTATTAATATCTAAGTTTATTTTTTTTTAATAATTTTATATTTAACTTGAAATATTCTGCTGAACGTTAAGAATTAAGTGAATTTCACATATTACGTAGCCTTTCATTTTAATTAATAACAATGAAGGATATATATTTAAAGATTAAATTATTTAAAAAAATTATCAGTTTTAATGTATATTTTCTGCTTAAACAGTAATGAAAAAGTTTATATTTAAAAAATTTTTTTTATTACAGTATTATATCATTTTATATTTTTTATTATTTAAAGGAGTTATAATGTATATATAATTTTCATATATATTTTCTTTAATATAAATAATATTTGAAAAATTATATTTCTTTTTTCTCTTATTAATATGAATAATTATCAAAGTATTAATTATAATTTAAATTTAGAGTATTATAGTTGCATTTTATTGTTTATTTTTTTAATGTTAAAATTTAAGCAAATATGCATGAACATTAATGTGTATATTTATATAAAATTTTAAATTATTTATTTATAGAATTTTAAAATTTTTACTAGTATTATATTTACATCTTTAGTTCAACGTAAATAATAAATTTAAAAATTTTTCAAAAGTGCTAAAAGAACCACAAAAAAAAAGTATACTAAATTTTGTATTTAGAGTTAATAGAACTTTCCTAAATTATAATTTTTTATATTTTTTTTTGAAGTTTAAAAATATAAGACATTGTTCTTTTTAATGAAAATTTGATAAATTATATTTTTCTAAAAGGATAAATAAATTTTAAACTAATAATGATAATTTAATGAACAGTATGTATATATTTTTATAATATGAAAATATATTGAAATTTTAATTTTCATGTAGATTATTAAATTTTTATCAATCATTTATGAAAATTTAAGTGTACATTAAAATGTTACAAAAATATTTTAATGTATTGAAAATAATTTCCATTTTTTTTTTTTTTTTCTTATTGAATTTAAATATATTTAATCAAGTAACAATAAAGTTATAAAGTAATTTATATAACATAATGATTAAGATTTTCTAATATATTTACAATAATGTGAAGGCTATTTCACAGTGGAATGCATCTTTAAAAAAAAAAAAAAGAAAAAGACAAGAAAAAGTGAAGATTATTTCATTTAATATGTTTCAATAAATTTTATTTAAGAAATCAAAATTTAATATGAAAAAAAATAATATAAAGTTGGTAACTAAATTTTTATTAATATTTATTCAATATTATTTTAAATATAAAAAAGAAAAAAAAAAAAAAAAAAAAAAAAATTATTCAAGAAATATATTTTTTTTTTTTACCGCTACTTTCTAATTAAAAAGTAATTTAAAAATAAAAAAGCATATTTATTTTAAAGAAAAAAAGTTAAATTTATATTTATATTTATTTTATTTTAATTTACTTTTTTTTTTTTTTTAATGCTATATTTAAGTTTTATAAATTTAATAAAAAGTATCATTAAAGAAGAAAATAATAATTTAATCATATAGTTTTTTAATAAATATTTATTCTATTTTTCATAATATTATATGTATGTTTTTCGTAATTAAATAATTGTTATATAATTTTTTTTTTAAAGTTAATTTACACATATATGAAAATACATTTTATAAATATAGAAAATATTAACACATACCTTATTAACATTATTCTTACTAGAGAAATTGATGAAAATCATATTAATGTTATTTCACAAAATAATATATATTTGAATAAAATGGAATTATAAGATTTAAAAATATTCTTATATTCTTTTAATAAATATAAATATATATAAATATATTTTATTATTAAATATTTAAAACAAAAAATATGAATAAATAAAGGAAGTATTTTACAAAAATATATCAATTTAATAGTAATAAAGGCATTTATTTATTGTTATTGTATTTTTTTTTTATTAATTTTAATCCATTTTCAAATGTCACATATGAACATAAATAATAAAAATAATATATTTGATGAAAATTATGAGGATAGTGATGAAGATGAGTATTTTGAAATAAAAAGTAAATTAGAACACTCAGAAGAAGATGAGGAAAATGGAGATGAAGAAGAGGAAGAAGAAAATGAGGAAGAAAATGAGGAAGAAAATGAAGAAGAAAATGAAGAAGCTGAAGAAGCTGAAGAAGTAAATGAAAGTTATTTATCAAACGAAAAATTAGAAGAAGATATATTCAATGAAAACAATTTATTACATGCCATAAAAACTAGAGAAGTTTTAGAACAAGAAATTTTAGTTCTTTTTCACAATATGTTAAAAAAAGAAACAGTTCTAAATAAAGATATGAAAAGTAATTTAAATGATGGTTTGACATCATTTAAAGATTATTATGAAGATAAAGAGTTGAAAGAATTTGAAAAATCAAATTTAAAAATAAAAAATAAAGATGTATTTAACTTCATATACAAAAAAATGAATTTAGACGCAAAAGAGAAAAAAAGAGAAGAGAAAAATAAAGAAAAGATTTTATTAGAGGAACAAATAATAAAATGTAAAAGTATTGAAGACCTAGAAAAAGATCATTATATATTGGATACCAATGTGGTAAATATATTAAATGATATTAATACGTATTTAAAAAGAGAAAGAGAATATTTGAATAGAAAAATTGGTAATTATATAGATTCCACTTTTAAAAATCCAATGTATGTTACTCTGTACATTTTTAATAATCAAATATTAAAAGATACCATATTACAAGTGATAAATATAATTAAAAATGAGTTCGATAATGCTATATATAAAGATATTGATGAAAACTTATTAATAAAAAATATTTTAATTTTAATAAATTATTTAACTGCTAGACCAAGTAAAGAATGGTTTGAATATTGGCAAAGACATATGCCTACATTTAATAACAAAAAAAGTGATTACAATGTTTACAATTATTTGCAAATAGAAAAAAATGAAAGAAAAATATTTTCTAATACTTTAAAAAATGATATATATATAAAAGAATTACAAAAAAGATCTAATATATTAGAGCAATATCAAAAAGGTTTACAAAGTTTAAAATGTTTGTTATCTAGTAAAAATTTTTTAAGTATTCTTAATGAATTCAGATATAACTGCCAATTATTTATTGATGCAGATTATAGAGGTATTGAAGAAAACGAAAAGGTAGTTGAAATGCAAAGAAGAGAAAATGAATTAATTGAAGAAAAAAAAAAATTAAAAGAAGAGATGAACTCTTACAGAGAACAGTCAACAGAAGATGAAACAAGTGGAAGTGATATAACTGAAGATGATATAAGTAATGAAAATGGTTTAAATAAAGATGAATTAAATAGTAAAAATGATTTAAATGAAAATAATTTAAATAATGAAGATAATCTATTTAATGAGAGTATTAAAAAGAAGAAAAAAAAAAATATTATAAAAAATAAAATCATAAATATTAAAAAGAGAATAGAACATATAAATACTGAATTGTATGAAATTTCTAATTTTTTTTTAGAAGACAAAAAAAAAAGAGAAAAATTAATATATGAATACAATCAAAATATATGTTTGGTAAGAAGTATATTAACACAAGTATTGGGAATAAGAAGTACAAGATTAACAAAAGGCATTAATTTAAATAATGTTCATTATTCCATCTTACAAAATATTTTAGATAAACATAGTTCTTTAAATTTAATAGTTGATGAAATGATACGTTTATTTGAAAAAGATATAAAAAAATACGAAAATGAAAAGAATATACACATACCATATTTAAAACAGAATACCATGAGGGAAATATGGGAGTATATTAGACTGTTTTATAATGTTATATGTTATATAGATCCTATTGATTTGGTTAAATCATTAACTTATCAAAAAAATAAAGTTAAAAATACAAAATGTGATAATATGAATGATGAAAAGGATATAAATGATATAAAAAATATGCACAAGAAAATAAATGAAGTAAAAAGAATCAGTTTAAATGGTGACATAAAAAGAAAAAGTGCTACTAACAATAAAAGAAATAGCTTTTTAAATAAAAAAAAAAACAATTTAATGTTAATGCATTTATCAAGAATAAATCCATTATTAGCTAAAGAAAAAGTTAGGAAGCCAAATGAAGAAAAACACATGAAAAAAAAAAAAAAAAAATTTATAGAAAGGAAAAATTTAATAGACTATTATGAAAACTTTTCTTTCGAGGATTTGTCGTTTAATATATTCTCAGAAGAGAATTCTTTTAAAAAATTTAATATATTAGATATATTTGATCATGCAAATTTATATAAAATACAAGAGTTTCTTAATAGTATTATAGGGATAAATGATGAATTTGAAAATATTTATGATAATGATGATGATTTTAATTATTCTCTAAAGGTTTTTTTAAATATATGCATTAAAGATTTAAGAAGGTGTATAATGGAATATTACAATTATCAGTGGGATATTAAAATAATTTTGAACATCCACGCATGGATAGTTACTTATTATACAAATTTTTATATTTATGAAAATAAAAAAAGATTATATAATTCTAGAAAAAAAAATTGGAAAAGAGAAATTGAAGAAAAAGAAAAGGAAAAAGATTTCAATATCAATGAAAATAATCAAAAAGAGGAGCATACAAATGCTTTATTTATATCAAGAATTCAAATGCTTTTGGGTATGCAAATGTATATTGGTGATAATAGTATACATTCAGAATTTTTATGTGAAACTTTCCAACGTTTAATAAGAGAAGAAAAAATGAGAAAAAATAGTAGTAAAGTAATTCTGTGTTGTCTAAGATGCTTATATGCTGATTTAAATTTAATTGATATACATTCATTATCAACTGATGATAATGTTAAATCTATTTGTAAATCATCATTAGATAACTTCTTAAAGAGAAATATCCTAAGTACATTAAGTTGGATATTAAAAAATTTTAAAATTATGAGTCATGAAAAAAATATTTTCTTATATTCTTTAAAATGCTGTTTATTAATAATACAGTTATTAGAAAAATTAGGAGGAACTACATATATTATTAAGGAAGATAAAAAAATTCACGATGAAGATGAAGATGAAGAATTTAATGAGAATGAAAAGTTGAAAAGTAATAATTATGATGAAAATTATTATAATGATTCTATGGAGAAAGTCGTTGTTTCAGATTTAATTGAAGAAATTTATAGTGGAAAAATAGTAAATATATGTATGCAGATTTTAGAAAATTTTAAAAGAAATAGCATATATATAAATGATTTAATCATTACTTATTTTGAACATTTAATAAAACACAAAAATAATGAATATAACTTTCTAATATTTTTTGATATAAAATATTTTTTAATTTTTAAAGAAATTATAAATGATGAAGAATGTTATACAAATTCTCAATATTTTTGGATAGCTGTATTTTTTGAAAATATAATTCGATGTTTTTTTAAGCTGTGGAATACCAATTATTTTATAGCTACTGAGTTGTTTTTTAGTAAAGATATGAATAAAAATATTTCCAGTTTACTAAATGAGAAATATATGTTATCAATTTTTAGTAATTATAATGAAGGAAATGATAATTTCATATATGATGAATTAAATAAAGGGATGAATATAAATGACATATTTATTGAATTAAATAGTCGCAAAAGATTAGAAGCACTAGAATGGTCAAAAGAAGATATAGAAAATTTGAAAATTTATTTTAAACAATTTAAACATATGCATAACTTTTTGCCTTTTATTAGTGAGATGTTAAATAAATCAACAAACACAGTAAAAAATCAATTGATTTATTTAAATTATATAGACAAAAGAGGTAATGTAATAGATGAAAATGAATATTTATCTTCTTCTTCATATTCTTCTTCGTCTAAAAGTTCTTCTGTTAAATCTTTTTTATCTAAGGAAAAATCTCCATTAAAAAAAGATGAAAGTATGGAAAGTGAAGAAGAAAAAGAGGGATATATAAAAAGAAAAGCAAAGCAACCTTTGCTTTATACCATTTATAGACTAAAAAAATTAAATGAAAATAAAAAAGATATTTCTAATTTAACTAATAATGAAATTAATTGTAATGTTGATAATGTTTTAGAAGAAATTAACACTAATCTAAAATCATTGTATGAGTTAAAGAAGTTATCAAAAAATAAATTTTTCACTCATAAAGCGTTAGTATTTGATATTCCATTAAGCATATCTTCTGATTTATTAGAACATCATTATTTTAAAAAATTATTAAAATTAATAGGATTTCTTTATAATGAAAATACAGATGAATGGGCATTAGATGAAAATTTAGATATCGATATTTTTAGAAAAATTGTCGATAAATTTGACGAATTATACCAATTATCACTAGAAGAAATACAAAACAATCTATATAATACAAATAAAAAAAAGAATGACACTGATGAGAAAAAGGAAGAATGCGATGAAAAAGAAGATACAGAAGGGGTATTTAATGAATATAAAAGTCATGGAGAGACTCGAGAATTTAATACATTTGAGAATGTAAAAAAAAGTAATAGAAATGAATTTTTGGATGAAGAGGAATTACATATGCTTCAGTCTCCTAAATTGAAGGGAACTTTTAAACTATTAAAATTAATGTATGAATTTTTTATTTCTAACAATGATGAATGCAGGTTATTTTTTAATAACTTAATAAATATAATTGAGGAAAAATGTTGTATATTATTTGAAAAAAAAAGACAAAATGAAAATTTGAAAGAAATGAAAACAGATAATTTAAATGATATTGAAAGTAATAATAATATTAATACTGATGAAAAAGAAAATTCAAGGAATACTTCTTTTTTAAATAATAATAAAGAATCTAACAATTTAAATTTTGAAAACTATAAAATATATTTAGATGAAAATCAGAAAGATATTCTTAAAACTTGTTATAGTAAAGAAATTTTGGAAAATTTACTAGAATATTTAGGAATTTATATTTCAAAATTTCAACATTTAATTATTTCAAAATATATAAATGACAAAGATTTTTTTGAAAGAATTAAAGTGATTAATAATTATAAGACATTAGGGATACAAGAGATAGAAAATATAATAAATAAGAAGGAAGAAGAAATAAGGGAAAATAAGAAAAAAAAAAAGGATAGAAAGCCTTCTGCAAACCAGAAATTTGAATTTATAAAAAGTATATGTGAGTATTTAAATCAAAAATATTTAAATAACTTAATAAGTCAAGATAAATATAATCAAACAAATTTAAAAGAAATATATTTTGGTGACGATAAAATATTAACATATCTTTATGAAAAATTGAATTCATGGAATAATAAAAGAAGTAAAAAAAATGATACAGATAATTTAATTTTAGCTATATATGATATATTAAAGAGTGAATATACTATAAATAGTAATGATATGGATTATAATGTTTTAAATGATTTTGTAAATAAAAGTATGGATTTATTGTCTCTTTATGTTAAAAAAATATGTTTATCTTTAAAAGCATTACTTATGGACGATTTAAGTATGGTTTGGAAAAATGATGTACAAAAAGAATGGTTAAAAATAATGTTAAAACTGTTTTATAATATTTTGTATGATAATACTTATAATACAATAGGAAAATTATTTAAAGAATATAAAAATATTAAAGAGATTTTGAATGATGATTCATCTGATTTTTTAGATAAACAGAAAATTAATAAAAAAAGTTTAGAAAAAAGGAAAGATTTATGTGACGAAGATGAAGTAAATGAACAGGGATACGAGAATGATAAAGGAGATGATAGTAATGAAAAAAATTATGGAGAATATAAAAAAGTTGAGGAAAAAGATGATAAAAAAGATGAGGAAAAAGATGATAAAAAAGATGAGGAAAAATACGAAAAAAATGAAGATGAAAAAAAAGAAAAACTAGATGACATAAATAAAGAGGAAAATGAAAGAAAAGAGGAGAATACAAATGAAGCTGAAAAATTAATTATTATAAAAAATAAAAAAGATGAAAAAGATAAAGATGAGACACAAGATTCATTTCTTTATTCTGAAAATAATTTGATTTGCAAAGAAAATGATATAAATGAAACTAGTTTAAAGAAAGAGTTATCAAATAATATAAATGATACTTGTTCAAATAAAATAAATAAATGCGAAAACATTTATTTATCACAAAAAAGGAAAATAGATGATTTAGTAATAGAGGATTATTTTCATTTTTTTAAAAAAAGAAAACTAGAAAATACTTATATTAATACATACAAGAAAAATAGAAAAATTATTATTGATTCCTTATTGAAAAATAAAAATATTTTCCAATATAAAGAAAATGATATTATCAATAAAGTAAAGCAAGTTTTCATTATGGCTAAACAGATGGCTATTAATGGGGTATGTAAATAAATTTATGTAAATTTTAAATATATTATGAAAATATATATATAATCATATTTATAGATATAATATATTTGTAAATAATATTATTACTAATGTAAATAATAATACTAATGAAATATATTTTTATGTTTGTATTATATACTGTATAAATCTACAGTAAAAAAAAAAAAAAAAAAATTTGCTTAAATATTTTAACTTCATTTTTGAACTACTTATTTATTCTTATGAATATATATTTAAATATTTATTTATATATTTGCTTTTATTTAATTTTTTTTAGGAATTAAGAAATCGCTGGAAATCCAGAGATGATGTAAAAAGAATGCTTTTGTTATAAAAATACAAAAATAGTGAAAAAATTTCCTTTTCCTTTTAATTTTTTATTTATACTTTCTAAATTTTTAATATTTATTAATAAACTCAAAAATTAGTCTTTTTGTCTTTTCTTTTTCTATTTTTTTTTTTTTTTTTTTTTTTTTTAAANTTTTTTTTTTTTTTTTTTTTTTTTTTTTTTTTTTTTCTAAATTCATATATATATTTTATCTTAAACGAATAAATAAAAGAAAATAATATGCGTAATTCAAATAAAACTCAGTAAATAAAAATAACTTAAATGGAAAAAAAAAAAAAAAAAAAAAAAAGAAAAAGAAATTAAGATTTCTGAGCTTCTTCTTTTTGTTTTCTTAATCTAATAATTGTTGATTTTGCTGCAACTGCTGCTGGAGTTGTTAAACTCCAAGCTCCTCCACAAACTTTTCTTTTACATTTTTTACATTGCCATATACCAACACATGTTCTTTTTGTGGCAGTCTTAAAAAAAAAATGTTAAAATAATTTATACATATATATATATATATTGATAATTTAAATATATAGAAAAATATCAAAAAAAAAGAAAAGAAATATTTTTATATATAAATAATTACCTTTCCACAAAATGAGCATAAGTATTTTGCGTGTTGCATTAATTCTATTTTTTTCATCTGTTTACGAAGTGATGATCCATATCTCGTTCCATATTTTCCTGTTAAACCAACCTAATATAATTTAATAAAAATATAAATAAATTTTTTCTTATATTTTTAATTTATTAAATTAAAATTATATACATATATAATAATTTTTTTTTTTTAATTTCATTTTTTATGATGATACAGTTATATTTTATATATATATATATATATATATATATATTTCTTTTTTTTTTTTTTTTTATTTCTTTTTACTTTTTTAGTTCTTCTTGACATTGTTATTAATAAAAGGATATTAATTTTACTTCAGTTAAAGATAAAATTTTTATTATTATATCAAAGATGTGATATTCTATTTAAAATTAAATGTAAAAATCATAAATATAAAAAAAAAAAAAAAAGAAAAAATTTGATAAATTATATTTCTATTTTTTTTTTTTTATAATTTTGCAAAAATAGTATTGCTTAAAAAAAAAAAAAAAATTAAAATAAAAATAAAAACCACTTTACCCTCTTTTAAATAAAAATTTACGTTTAACAAAAATTCGTGAACTTTAAGAGATAAAACATACATTTATATATAAATATATATTTTTTTTTTCTATATTTTATTTTAAAATTTGAAATTGTTTTTATGAAATTTTAACATTATTTCATTAAAATAATATTTATTTATTTATTTATTATTTTTTTTTTTTTTTTATTCTTCTCTAATAAATTTACATTTTTTTTTTTTATTGAAATAGTGTAATATTAAAAATGTATAAATGAAGAATTTTTTTTTTTTAATTTACTAATAATCTTTTAAATATTAAAAGAAAATTTTATAAAGGATTTAAAAATTAAGAAAAATATTGAATATTCTTCTAATATTGGTAAAATAGTTTTTAGAAAAAGAAAAAAGAAAGATTCATTTGTATAAATAATTCATATGCCTATGAACCATATTTAATTTTTCTAAAATATAATTTTTTTTTTTAAAAAAATGTTACTTAAAAAAACAATAAATATAGACTTATAAAAGTTTAAAATGTTCTACTAACTATGAATGTTATATAAATATACAATTATAATAAAACTTACTCTTTGAATTACATTTAAATAATTGTAACCAAAAAAAAAAAAAAGAAAAAAAAAAAAAAAATTGTTGTTATTTTAATAATAATAATAATAACTGAATTGTAATTGTTTCCTTTATTTTATTTATTTATTTTTTTAATTGTTAATTTTATACATATTTATTTGTTAGTCTTGTATTTTTTTGATATCTTCTTTAATATGACCCTACAAGTATATTATTGATGGGTATAAAAACTAGTTTTATCATATAACCAATAAATCCCATAATTAAAAATCCAAAAGAACAAGCATAAACAATATTAGTGTATTCTTTTTTATTTGGTTTCGTACATTTCCTTATTAATCTTATACTATCACTAACAAATGATTCAATTCCTTTAACACAATAACCAATAGGGTGACTCTCATCTGTTATAAATTCTGGTATTTTAACTTTTACCATTTTATTTAAAAGTAAAAAAAAAAAAAAAAAAAAAAAAAATACAAAAAACAAAGGACAAAAAAAAAAAAAATTTATTTACCTTCTCTATAAGAAGAAAAAAATATATATATATATATATATATATATATATATATGAAGTTATTTATATTATCAAAAAAAAAAAAAAAAAAGTATATAAATATACTATTTATTATTATAACGAATTGTAAAAAGTATTTTTTTTTTTTTTTTTCTCTTAATTATTAAAATTTGTATATAAGAAATGTAATGAAATTTTAAAAGAGAAAAAAATTTATAATATATTTCTTTTATTAAATTTTACTTGTACTACTAACATCAATCAATTTGTTAAGTTTATATTACAAAATTTTTTTTCTAATAAATTGAAAATTTAATCAGAAAAAAAAAATTATATAAATAAATATATAGAAAATTATGTGTTTATATAAATAAATAATTATGTATATATGAAAATATTATAAAAGGAAAAATGAATTAAAAAAAAATATATTTCAATACTTCATATTATATGAATATGCACGTTTTTCTAAAACAAAATAAACATAATTTTTATTTTATTTATATATATATATTTAAGTTGTTTTGTATTTATATTTGTTTAATTCTTTTAAAAAAAAATTTAATTTTTTCAGTAATACTTTTGTGAATTTTGAACAAAAAAAATATTAAAATTATTTTATTTTTTTTTTATTCTATTTATTTTTTTTTTTTTTTTTTTTTTATCAAGTTCATTACTATAGTCTTTTAATAGCTAATTTAATAAATATTTATATATTCATATATATATATATATATATTTATATTAAATCAATATTTATTAACTCTTTTTTTAAATGAATAATGTATTTAATATGTAGACATTACTAATAATTTTTCTTCTAATTTTTAAAGGTTAAAAAAAAAAAAATTTTATTTTTATGTAGTTATTTTTTATTTTTTACTTTTTTTTTT